GAGCTGTGTGGAGATTTCTGGACCTACTAAACATAGAGCTTCCATATGATCCAGCAATTCCACTCCTAGGTATTTATCCAAAGGACACAGAAACATCAATTCCAAAGAGCACCTGCACTCCTATGTTTATAGCAGCACTGTTTACAATAGCTAAGCTTTGGAAACAACCCAAATGCCCAAAAATAGATGACTGGATCAAGAAGATGTGGTACATATATACCATGGAATATTACTCAGCATTCAAAAAAGATAAACACATGCAATTTGCAGCAACATGGATGGCACTGGAAGGGATCATGCTCAGCGAAATAAGCCAAAAAGAAAAAGAAAAATACCGGATGGTCTCACTCATAGCAGGAATCTAGAAAACTTAAATAAGGGACTAGGAAAATGAATATAAGAAAGTGAAAATCAAAATCAACAAAAAACTATGAACCAGAGACACTTTTTGGGGGGTGGGGGGCGTTAGGGGAAGGATTGGGGTCAGAATGGGGCGTTTGCAATTGTATGGGGGAATATAAAAATAAAATTTAATATTTAAAAAAAAAAAAAAAGTGAAGAAAATAAAGGAAATTTGCTGCCCAAAAAAAAAAAAAGAAAGAGAGGGAGACCCATTTACCTGCCAGTCTCCACTGCTCTTGTTTTCTCCACAATAATCTCCCTCAACATTGTATCCAGAGGCAAATTCATAAAGTAAAACCAAATATATTTCAGGACAAATTATTGGAAAGGCAAATTGTCAAGTTGCCTCATTTCTCACTGACCTGTTGCCTTACCCACCAAACCTCTTATTCCAGCACCTACTGCTTTGCTCTAACTTGTGGCATGTGATTCATTACAAACCTTGAGACCAGCGTTCTTTGCTTCCTCTCCTAAATACCAGGTTCCTGCCCAAACCCAAGGGGAGGAGCATGTTGCTTAATCCATTTATCATCCTTTCCCCAGTTTGGTGGTTAATTTCCAGCTCCATCCAATGCTTGCCCCAGGAACCTTGGACCCTGACTCTTAACATACTTGGATCAGCACCAGCTTTTCACTAATAGCACAAAGACAGTAATAGAAGTTTGAAACCACAGAACCTGGGTTTAAATTTTGATTGGGTATCTCCCTTTCTTTCTCTAAATCCTCAGTTTCCTCTACTATGAGGGCTCATAATGTTTGCTAACAGCTAAAACTTATTGAGCATTATATGTTCTAGGCACTGAGCAAAGAATTTCATATTTTTTCACAATAATCCTACAAAACAGATTTTTTTTTTAATTGTCATAGTCAAAGTAAGAAACTGGGGCACAAAGAGGTTAAGTCTTGCGCAGGTGAGTCTGTTGGTAAGACATTGCACCAGCATTCAAATCAAGGGAGACAGGCTCCAGACATCTTGCTATTGACCATTAAGGTAAAGAGGTGATAATTAGGTTGAGCCTCCAATCCATACATGGAGGCCCCCAAACTTTTTTGGGGGGGCATTTCATGTTAGAGCTGTTTGATTCTGTATTTCTAAGTAGCAGGAGAGTCTTTCAGGTTATCAGCTCCACACATTGGAAAAAATGAGTCACTCTCGAGGTCAATTTTCATGAGAAAGTTTTGGGCAAACCATGGGACTAGATGTAGCAATCATTGAAAATGATGTCTCTGGAGAATTTCTACTGACAGGAGGAAGTCTTACAATATAGTGACCAAAGCAGAATACAGAACTGAACGAGAGTGAGTTCAATGCTTACAACAATTGTGCTAGCAATGTTGTTAATCAGCAACATCTTTCCTTGTATTAGGTATCCAAAACCCCAAGCAAGCATCCTTGAAGGCTGTAACAAGATTCCCTGTCCAGACCCCTCCCATGGGACACACGGTGCTTACTCTCCCCTGTAAATCCTTGCTGGTTTCATGAATGAATGGATCAATGAATGAATGGATCTATGAGAAGAAAACTTTGGACCTTAGATCACCATCTTTAATGGACCAGATTTGATTCTGAGTGCCATTTTAAAGGAAATGAATAATTTTATTCTAAATGCCTCCTGATTCCTGTTTTAGACAACAGAAAATCAAAGGGAGACAGTTGACCAGAGGTGGCACCTGGAAGAGATCAGTCCTGTGAGTCAGTCACTGCTGGAAATTCTTGTATTTTGGATTTGATAAAGTTGGGTTTCATTCATCATAACTTGTTTACTTTATCTATTCTACAATGATTTCAACTCTCAAGCAAAGACCTTTTATCTAAACTTTTCCTTGCATTTCCCATTCAAGAGAAAGCACAGAATTTGTGGATAAGGACATTCTGTACCTTCCACTGGGAGTGACAGAAGAGGTGAGACAGAGAGGTTTCCTACTCAGGACCCTGCATGGTGCTGACAAAAGTGAAACTTCCCCCAAATGTCTCTCATTTGTTTAGCAATTGATCTTTCCAAAGCACAACTACAAATACAAGTCAATGCTCTAGGTATATTAACCTCATTGTACAAGCAAGAAAACTAAGACCCAGAGATGTTAATTGACTTTCTCATGGTCACACAGCAGGAAAGTCTCAGTGTTTGGACAACCACCTCAAATTTCTAACTCCAGTTTCTAGTACTGCTGGCAACTCAAGGTGGCAAAACAAATGTGTCATCACTCAAGAGAAAGGAAGAATGTTCCTCTCCCATTCAAGAACACAGAGTATCTTCCCACATACCTGTGTCTTTTATGTATATATCTTAACACTGTCTTACAGTTTCCAGCATGAAGGTATTTTGTGTCCTTTGTTAAATTTATTTCTAGGTGTTTTGTGCTTTTGATGTGATTGTAAATGGGATTATGTTCTTCATCTCTCTTTCTTATAGATTATTTTTTGTGAAGAGCAATGCAAAGATTTTGTTTATTGATTTTGTATACTGTCACTTTAGCCAATTCATTTATTATGTCTAATATGTTTTGAGTAGAGTCTCTAGACCTTTTTTTGTATATTATCATAGCATCTGCAAAAATGATTGTTTTACACCTTCTTTTCCAGTTTGGTTCCCTGCTATTTCCTTTTCTTGCCAACTCTATGACCACACTGTGAAAGCATTAATTTTATAGTCATCTTCTGTTACAAAATGAAAGGGAATCAGCAAAATCCTGCTGCTAGATCTATAGAACTTCAGGAAGTTGGTCTGAAACTGGTATTATGCCTTGGCAGATGATAAAAGAGAGGGCTATAGCCCTGATGAAGCAGATGCTGTAGAGGTATTAAAGTAGACCTACCAAATAGGAAAGCATCATAACTAAGATTATGTAAAATTATTGAAATTCCCCTGTATTTCAATGGAGAAGGAATCATGGCATAGATACTGCTAACCCAATCTCTCCAATGTCACATAAAATGGTGCTTAAAAGCCTGGTGTATTTATAGCTCTTCATTCATATCATCAGTCAGTTAATAGAAAGGTCAGTTTTAATTATTTCTCACTCAATATATAGTTCAAAGTGGTTGCTAGTGGTAAATACAATTAGTACTACAATAAAACATAAATTTGTGGCTGCCTCTGCCGCTGAACGCCAGTGAACTTACTGAAAAGAGGGAGGCTTTCACTCAGACGCATAGTACATCCGAGTGAATAAGACCCCCTTCCCCTGTGTGCTGGACTGGACAGTCAATGATGGGTAAGATCGGGGACAGACTAAAGAAGGCACTGGCCAGCCTCATGTCTGTGACTCCTGATGACCTAAGACAGGTACAGTCCCCGAGGGGCTTCATCATAAAAATCTCTGGCGTTAAATTCAGACAAATGTCTAAATGGCTGTAAGCCCAATCTAGGCAATAAGCCCGCAGTAAAAAACCCCTCCTTTGCTTGTAAACAAGGCTGCTAAGAGCGTTGCCTACAAACAAGCCTGATGGAATTACCTATAAAGCAGATTAACCATTAACCAGTTAGTCATTGTTTCTGAATAAGTAGTAACTTAGCAACTTGTCTATAATTATACTATTTTCTTACCTACCTGACTTTTTCTATATATATGTAAAAATCAGTTTCAGGAAATGTATTGTAACCACATATGCTTAGCAACTTGTAAACCATTAGCTAGAAAATTGTATTCTATGCCTAGGTAACAAGAAACATTGTTATACTAGGAAAATAGATTTTGTGTGACCTAATGCCTTTTGAAAATGTACAAATATGCATAATGATTTGAGCAAATTACATTCAGATCTTCACTCTTGAAGTGTGTCTATCTGTCATTTAAACGCCAAATCCTTGACCATCCTGCACGAGTTTCACATCCCTGGGATGGCCTTGCCAGTCTACCACTGCGCTGGTCCACGGCAGGTGGCGCCCATTTAAGTATTTAAACATTTGATTAGGGCCTCCCCTGGTGGCCCAGCGGTCCCTGGGCTGTGAAGCTGCCCGCAGCCTCTGCAGCCCGTTCGATCCCAGGCCGCCTGCGAGGGTCCCACATGGTGTGCAGACCTCTCCTACCGCGCCCACTGCTCCCCTCAGCAGTGTATTTCATCAGTCTGCCTGTTCTGTTCCCTGCTCTGGCTCTGGTGAGTTATCTCACCCTCTTGCGCTTCTGACTGTACCCTGTACTTGTATAAATAAATAAATAAATCTTTAAAAAATAAACATTTGATTATATAAAACTATGAATTTACATATCAAAATGAAAATTCTATTGCCTCATAGAACCAAAAAAAAAAAAAAGCTACCAAATAAACATTACTGAGTTAATTAAAGTAGAATGTGAATTCCTTGTAATCTGTTTTGTTTCCTACTTAGTTCAAGTACCTAACATATTGCTTGGTACCTAGTAGGTGCACACTGCTTGATTGGTGAGGAAACTGTTTAGTGGAAAGTTAATATGTACACAGTCATTATCAATTTCAGCTGAAAAAGGCTTTCCTCTACTGTTCTAGAGTGGATCATCCAGAATTAATCTAAGCTCTGCCCTCACCTCCTCTCCCCCACCCCCATGTGGGTGGGACATCCTTCCAGCAGGGAAGATTGATCAGTGGTGCAGATACTGTGAGTCAGCCACCCAGAAGCTGCTGCACCATGAGTGCCTCTGTGCTGAGCCCCTCCGGACCCCTGGCCAGTGTGTCTGGGCTCCTGCAAGTGGCTTCCCTGCTCAGCCTGGTCCTGCTGCTGATCAAGGCCGCCCAGCTCTACCTGCACAGGCAGTGGCTGCTCAAAGCCCTCCAGCAGTTCCCGTGCCCGCCCTCCCACTGGCTGTTTGGACACTCCAAGGAGGTAGGAGGAGAGGGGTGGGGGAGTGGGAGGGTGGGGAGAGCTGGGTTCTCAGAGAAAGTCACTGGACCAAGTCTTGCTGTGGGACCTTCACCTGGCCTCCAGGGAAAGCCCAACTCACCTCTCAGGTCTTGACTCTTCATCATAATCAACAGAGCGTGCTCCCTCAGGGCAGCCTGGGCTGGAGGCTCGAGTGGGTGGGACATTCCTTCCTCAGGCAGGTCTGCAGCCTGTCCTGGTAGCCCTGCTCTTTGAGGACAACATGGTTCGTTTCTGGGTCTTTCCAGAAGATTGAGAAACATTTGTTTTCTGCATGCTTCCTTGCTCTCTTGCTGGCCTTTAGCATGCTTGGGAGCACAGACATCATCTGAATGATTCCTGCCCTATACCATTCAATCTGAGCAGCCCATAGACAGGAATCCAGGTATCAGGTGGCAGGAAAAAAGCTCACCTGCCAGGGAGTTGAGTGTGACGAGAGCTCAGGACCAACTGGTCAGTCTTGCCCCGACTACAATTCTGTGGACACAGCATTTTAAGGACTTAAAATGTTGCCATTCCCAGGCAAATGTAAATAATCAACCTGGGGAAGGCCTCTAAGAAGAGGTAAATGTCATTTGACTTGTGTAATGAAACAAGTCTGTTTATTTATTCTGGGCAATTAAGAGATTTTTTGGACATAGGACTCTGAGCACTTATACTTTGCTGTTGCCAGGTAAACATAAGGAACCAAGCCCAGGCGGGCCTCTAGCAAGGGGTACTGACATTGGCCTTGTGCCAGCAAACAAGTCTGAACCGCTCGGCTCTGGCCTGGAGCTCTGTGCAGCTGCGTCTCTCACCCCCATCCCTGTACCTCAGTTCCCACCAGAGAGCCTGGCCCAGACAGATGATTGTCCATGGGGTGAGTGACCGAGGAAGGACATCAGTTGCAGCTTGCAGGCTAGGCAGGCACAGTGACCCACGCAGCTCACTGCACTAAGCCTGGGGGGTTGAGGTAGAGAGGGAGGCCACGGTCCTCTCAGAAGAGAACAGTGCTTATCAGCAGCGTTCAGTGAAGATGGGGCTGTTAAAATGAGTCATAGAAAAAGTCTCATCACCCTGTCCCCTCAACACGGAGATGGCAGTCAGGTGTTTGGAGGGATAGAAGGAGGGAGGACAGGAGAGCGCAGGCTACAGGAAGGACAGTGCTCCCTACCCCACTCTGCCTGCAAGGAGCTTGAGAGGTAAAGGGTAGTGAATTGTGGTGGTAGCACCTCAAAGTAACCAAAGAGGGCGGATGAAGAGGGACCCACACATGGTTTGTGTGTTGAACAAACACTCGATGGAAATGAGATGAGAATGTGATTGAAGGGAGCTGAGACCGCTCTCCTTGCGGAGAGTTTTGATGGATTATCAGTAGATTACAGCCAGATAGAAACTGGAAACAGCCAAAGCCTCCACGAACCGCACCCAGTACCCCCACCTTTCTCTGTCCTCATCTTCTCTTTGACCCTTGGTTACTCCTTGTCCTCCGCCTGACTGTGCATTCTGGCCTCGGCCCTCTGCTCACACTGCACCCTCCACCTTGAGTCCCTCCTCCGTCATCTGACAAAGCCCAGCCCATATCACCTCCACCAAGTTGTGTCTCTGGTCTCCCAGGACACAGGGGACACCTCTTGCCCCTGCAAGAGTGGTCTCTCCTGGAGCAGCGCCACCCTGCCCCAGCTCCTTTTGTCTGCAGCGTCCCAGCTGTGAACTCTTCCAGGAAAGATGCCTCTGATCCACCTGTTAACCCAATAGTCTTGGTGAATCATGCGTCCTTGAATGAGCGAGGGCATGAGGGGGACCTTTCCCAAGTCCACTTAAGTCAGGCCCCTTCTCCAGAGTCTTGGGCTTCCTTCTTCACATATTAATTATCGTCTCTTGTCCTGCTCCTTAATCTTTCTTTCATCCCAACCAGACCAGAAGCTCCACACAGATGACGGTCTGTACTATACCCTGCCTCAATGTCAGACCCAGTGCCTGGCACATGGTGGGTGCTCACGGACTGAGTACTGACTGAGGGAATCTGTCCTCATTTGGGGAAGTTGTCTCAGAGCTGGTCAATCCTGGTGTCAGAAAGACGCACAGGTGTCAGAAGGACACACAAAGCTTGGAGACTGCAAAGCAGGGGGCTGCCTTGAGTTACATGTAACAGCTGAAACAAAGAAGAGCTGACTAAACGGAACGTGTCTAGAGCCATTTGTTTCTGAGAATTCCAAAGAGAGTAAATTAAATCTGAGTTTTGAAAGTTGAAGGGAGGCATCTGCTTGTGCTGTGAAGGGGCACCCCAGCTAGATGAACACAGCTAGAGCTGTGTTCAGGCGAGGGGAGAGCAGGCCTGGCTGGGGCAGAGCAGCAGCATCTGTAGGGTGGAGCAGGGGCCCTGGCGCTGCCAGCTCAGCAGGAGGCAGGCAGGCAGGAATGGGAAACAGGGGTCTTTGTGCTTCAGGTTGAGGAGTTTCAAATGTCTCCTCCAGGCTGGGAACCGCTCACAAAGACTGGTAAGGGGCAATGAGATAGAAAACCCTAAATGCCAAAATCACACGTCAACACAAATATCATGTGTGCATTCAGATATTGCCTTATATTGTGTAGACATAGCATGTAGAATATTATTATATAGACAACACTATATTGGGTTTTTCTTTCTTAGTCACAGATATCTCAAAGCTATTTCACATTAGCTAGTAAATCTCCCCTCGCCTGAACACAGCTCCTCATCTAACCCCTTGTGCTGTGCCCCTTCACAGCACAAGCAGATGCCTCCCTTCAACTTCAAGACTTAGATTTAATTTACTCTCTTTGGAATTATCAGAAACAATTGACTCTAGACATGTTCCATTTAGTCAGCTCTTCTTTGTTCCAGCTGTTACATGTAACTCAAGGTCACCTATGCTTCACTGGTGTCTGACCTTTGTACTTTGTCCTTCTGACACCAGGCTTGACCAACCTGAGACAACTTCCCCCACTGTGGACAGGCTCCCTCGGTCAGCACCCAGGCTTACGGATAAGGTTAGGGTTAGGATAATATTGAAAATCTATAACAACAAATATGGCAAATAAATATTAATATACAAACATAAATTTTAAGATATTATTCTTTTTTTCTAAATTAGCAAAATTATATGACAAACTACTTCCCCATTGATGCAAGTTGCCATACAATTGTTCTTGTAAATGTTGTTCTAATGATTCCAAAGTCTCTACACCATGAAGTCAGTCCCTGATTAAGTTTCTGTACCCAGGTCATGTGAGGCCACAGCTCCACCCAGAACTGGCTTCAGTTAAAGCCTTGGAAACCAGCAAGTCTGGATGAGAGTCCAAGTCAGAAGAAACAGTCCCGAACTCTTCCTTCCTCTGGACAATCTGAAACTATTTCCCTGTGACCTGCCTTCACCCCCACTCATGCATGAATAAAAAGCTTTGATATTTTTTCCCTTGGTGACAGTTCCAAAAAAACGAGCTACAACAGGTACTGAAATGGGTGGAGAAATTCCCGACTGCAAGTCCTCGCTGGTTCTGGGGAACAAAGGCCATATTCGTGGTCTACGACCCTGACTACATGAAGGTGGTTCTCGGCAGGTCAGGTGAGAGCAAATCTTCTTCCCAGTGGGAGTCCCTCTTACCAAAAAAGTACCTGACCCAGGGTCTCTGACTTTCAGCAGCCTGCACTGACCTTCTTCCAACCATCTCTAGTGCACAAGCCAGCCTAAGGCCATTTTTTTTTCCACAAGGGCAACCACATTTATTGGGGGTAGAGGATCAACGGGGGCCATCTTAGAGATTGTTTATCATATCCCTCCAGGCCTAGAGGAAATGTCACTAGCCCTGGGGTTACTAAAATAACCCTCTACCCTTGGTAAATAATCCTTCTTAAACTCTCCTATAATATCTCAATTTTCCAGGATCCTGACTTACACATTATACTTAAAGTTGTTTCATATACCTAAGATATTTTTCCTAAAAATATTTTTTTTTATTTTATAATTTTAGTTTATAATTTTTTGTCTTTTACATCGTTGTGTGTTCCTTGTAAAATTCCCACCACCAGTTCACCTGTGAACCATCACCATAATTCCATGTTCTCTTCTGTCCCCTGTTTTGATCCCTTTTCCTCCCCCTCCCTCACAGAATGTCTCTTATTTATGGTTGCCGGCTGGTTTTGTTTTATTATTATTTTTTTTCCTGATCCTTTATTTGGTTTCCCTATATTCCTCCTATAAGTGAAACCATTCGATATATTTCTTTTTCCTTCTGGCTTACTTCACTGAGCATGATCCCTTCAAGCTCCATCCATGTTGCTGCAAATGGCATGAGTTTATCTTTTTGATTGGTGGGTAGTATTCCATTGTATATTTATACCACATCTTCTTGATCTAGTCATCTATTTTGGGGCATTTGGGTTGTTTCTATAGTTTATCTATTGTGAATAGTACTGCAATAAACATAGGGGTGCAGGTATCTTTTTGAATCAATTTTTTTGTGTCCTTTGGGTAGATTCCTAGGAGTGTTTTGCTGGGTCATATGGTAGTTTCATTTTTAGTAGTTTGAGGAACCTCCACACAACTTTCCATAGTGGTTGGACCAGTTTGCATTCCCACCAGTGCAAGAGAGTTCCTTTTTCTTCACATCCTTGCCAACATTTGTTGTTGCTTGTGTTTTACATGTGTGCCATTCTTTTTTTTTTTCCCCCATTCTTACTGATGTGAGGTGGTATCTCAGTGTGCTTTTGATTTGCATTTCCCTGATTATAAGTGATGTTGAACATTTTTAAATGTTGACCATTTGCATTTCCTTTTGCATTTGTCTTTTTAGCTTTTCTGCCTGTTTTTTTGATTGGATTGTTTACTTTGATTTTGTTGAGTCATGTGAGCTCTTTGTAGATTTTTGTGATGAATCCCTTATCAGTTTGTGTGCAAAAAATTTTCTCCCAATCAGTAGGGTGTCTCTTTGTTTGGGTTAGTGTCTCTTTTGATATATAGAGATTTTTAGTTTGATGAAATCCCAGTTGTTTATCTTTTCTTTCACTTTCTTTGCTTTTGGAGATGTGTTATTAAAGATGTTACTGAGATGTATGTCGGGTAGTGTTTTGCCTATACTTTCTTCTATATATTTTATGGTTTCAGGTCTTACATTCGGGTCTTTTATCCATTTTGAGTTGATTTTTGTGCATGGTATGAGGTAGTAGTCTCGTTTCATTCTTTTGCAAGTAGCAGGCCAGTTTTCCCAGCACCATTTATTGAATAAACTGTCCTTGTTCCATTGCATATTCTTTGATTCTTTGTCAAAGATTAGTTGTCCATAAATATGTGGGTTTATTTCTGGGTTTTCTATTCAGTTCCATTGGTCTATGTGTCTGTTTTTGTTCCAGTACCACAGTGTTTTAATTATTATGTCTTTGCAGTATAGTTTGAAAACAGGAAGTGTGATACCACCATTCTCCTTCTTTTTAGTCAGGAGAACTTTGTCTATTTGAGGTTTTTTGTGGTTCTATATGCATTTAATCAATATTTGTTCTATCTCTTTGAAGAATGTCATTGAAATTTTTATCAGAATAGCATTGAATCTGTAAATTGCTTTTGGTAGGGTGGCCATTTTGATAATGTTAATTCTTCAATCCATGAGCAAGCAATGTCTTTCCACTTCTTTGTGTCTTCTATTTCTTTTAACAATGTCTTATGGTTTTCTTTATTTAGGTCCTGCATCTCTTTTGTTAGGTTTATTCCCAAGTATTTTATTTTTTTTTGTTTCAATTATAAAAGGGATGGTTTTCTTAATTTCTTTTTCAGATTGAGTGTTTGCATATAGGAAAGCTAATGATTTTTGTGTGTTGATTTTGTATCCTGCTGCTTTACAAACTGATCTATACTTTTGATTAGTTTTTATGGAGTTTTTAGGATTCTCTATGTATATTATCGTACCATCTGAAAATAGTGATAGTTTTACTTCTTCTTTCCTTACTTGGATTCCTTGTATGTCTTTCTCTTGTCTTATTGCTCTGACTAGTATGTCCAGTATTATATTGAAAGGCAGTGGTGATAGTTGACATCCTTGCCTTTTTCCAGATCTTAAGGGAAAGGCTTTCAGCTTTTCGCTATTGAGGAAAACATTAGCTGTGGCTTTGTCATACATGGCTTTTATTATGTTAAATTATGTTTCTTCTATCCTGAGGATTTCCAGAGCCTTCATCATAAATGGATGTTGAACTTTGTCAAATGCTTTCTCAGCATCTACTGATATGATCATATAGTTTTTCTTTTTGTTGATGTGTTGGATTACATTAATTGATTTTTGGATGTTGAACCATCCTAAGACCATGATATTGAAGTGATTGCTTAAAAAGCTCTGAGGGGACAACTATCTATATTTTTTTCTTCTTCAACTAAATTATCATGATTCTAGTGGATATTTTCTGGATATAAAAGAATGGTTCCCATACACAGTGACTTTGGTTTTGGCACCATTAAGTGTCACCTGTCCTAGGTCATGGGATGGTTAAGCACCACAAATTGTAAAAAGTCCACCTCATTCTTTAGATTAAGTTCAGAGCCTATTATTTTCAATTCACCGATCAGATCATGTAATGGTGAGCTGATGCTGGGAGTTGAGCCTGGCATCCAAAGCCTAGTGACTCTCAGGAGAGAGTCAAGAAGGGAGGCAGGTGAAAGTGTCTTGGGCCAAGGCCAGATGACAATCCTCAGGAAGGGATGGAGCAGATTGTCTGACCATGGCTTCTCCTGGGTCACCATTCATCTGGTCCTCTATAGTTTATTGTCTTACCATTCCTTCCTTTCAGATCCCAAAGCTCACGGTACCTACAGATTGCTGGCTCCCTGGATTGGTGAGTACAACAACTGGGACTGAGATCCATTTGCCAGATAGGTCTGCCAAGAACTATCCGTTTGGCACAGAGAACAGCATGTGGCCAGTTCCATGACAGCACCTTTGCGTTTGAATCAAGGCTCATTTTCAAAGAAACCATCGCCCCTTCCCACTGAGGCTGAGGGCCTCCTACACAGCTTCCTCCCTCACTTCTCAGCCCTCTCCAGCCTCTCAACCCCACTTTCATTCACCTGCTTCTGTGACCTGCCCCCTGACCCTTCTACCTTTATCTCACAGCTTCTTAACCACATTCCAAGTGCTAGTCACTTTGTTAGAATCACTTTCTGGAAATGCACTGGGCTGTCCTGTCTTTCTGCATGAAGTACTTCTTGTGATGTCCTAGTTTCCCCCCAAATTATGGCCAGTGTCCTCTCTGATGCTGTCTAACACCCCAGCCCCAGCAGCCCAATACCCCCATCCTTCTCTGGTGCAGGGTATGGTCTGCTCCTGCTGAACGGGCAGCCGTGGTTCCAGCACCGGCGGATGCTGACCCCAGCCTTCCACTATGACATCCTGAAGCCCTACGTGGGGTTCATGGCCGACTCTGTGAGAGTGATGCTTGTAAGTCTGTCCTATCTCCAGGCCATCCACACAGCACAACGCAGACTCCACCCTCACACATATGCCCATACACAGGCCCTCGGATGCCCATACACAGGCACCCAGAGGACAGTCTCAGGACACGCTCCCTAACTAGCTAGGGCAGCAAGTGCTGGGGCCAGCCTGCATCCACACTGGCTCAACCCCAACCAGAAAGAGAGCCACAGTGGAAAGCAGGTCCTTCTCCCACATCTACATCCCCAACCACACAGACAGGAGTGTCTATCCCCTGAGCTGCAGGACATGCTCCCCTTGGCTGGCCCTGGCCCACGTGGGCAGCCTCCGTGCAGGGCGCACATCCCAGAATGCTGAGCCTCTGGAGCTGGCCTGGCACCCGGAGCTCCTCCAAGGACTCCAGTGAGGGAGTGGAAGCCCCACTCCCTGAGGAGACAGAGACGCATCTGCATCTAGTGCTGCTCCTGCCCCCGCCTCACCTCCCTCAGGACTCGACTCCTCACCAGCCTCTGTTCAACTAACATTTCATGACAAAAGGAACTGATGTTCCTCATGTCCCTGTTTAGGAGCCCCATGACAGGCCCTTAGCTTACTCTTGCCTTGCCTTATTTGTTTGGACTCTGCATGGTCAGGTCACGGTCAGTACTCAGGTCAGATAATATTCCCCTTTGTCTTGAAGAAAGGAGTTTTGTGATGTACAAAATGTATTATATTTATAGCTTGGTCTTTAACTTTATTCCAAAGTCAGAAAATAATGGGAAATCATGTTTAATTATCTAATGAACTGAATAGTCATCACATTAAAATATTTACATTTAAAATGTGTTTAGGGCCTCCCCTGGTGGCGCAATGGTTGAGCGCTGAGCTGCGAGGCTGCCTGCGGCCTCTGCATTGCCGGTTCATTCCCTGGCCGCCTGCGAGGGTCCCAACAAAAAAAAAAAAAAAAAGTGTTTAAAAAAATTTTTGCTTTACAAAGTGAGGAAGTCCCTGTGAACATTTGGAGACTGGGAGAGCCCAGCCCCACAGCAGAGGCCTCTGTGCAGTGAAGGAGGGTCCATGTCCCCTGCCCCACAGGACAAATGGCAGCAGCTCAGCGGCCAGAACCCACGTGTGGAGGTCTTCGAGTACGTCTCCTTGATGACCCTGGACAGCATCATGAAGTCTGCCTTCAGCCACCAGGGCAGCGTGCAGACAGACAGGTCAGTGGGGATCCTCCAATGTGGGTCCTTATTCTTACCAGCTGGTGTGGCCTCCGCTGACAGGCAGGCAGTTTGGGCAACGTGGGTCCACATGGCACAAAAAGCGAGATTCTAATGCTTGGGACAGTCCAGGGGTAAATTCCAACACAGACCAAATCTTTATTCTCCCAGACCCTGATCCCTGGACAGGGAGCAGCTCGTTCCCCTTGTAAGATCCAGAGTGACAAAGCTGTACACAGAAATGACATGTATCTCTGTCACTGGTCCCATTGGCTGAACACTCCCCCTAGAGCCCATCCCCCTCCAGGTGAGCAGCCCGCTCCTCTCCAGTCTCTTCTGCCTCCTGGCCCTCAGGAGCTCCCAGTCCTACATCCAGGCCATTGAAGACATAAAGAACCTGTTTTTTTCCCGAGTGAGGAATGCTTTCCACCAGAACGACACCGTCTACAGCATGACCCCTTCAGGCCGCAGGTACCTCCGGGCCTGCCAAGTGGCCCATGAGCACACAGGTTGGTTCCAGCTGCTGGGCTTCCCCCTCCTTCATCAGTCTCATCCAAGGGCCTGGACCTAACCCTTTAGCCAGGACCAGGCCTGATGCCCCTTAGGTTTGGGACACACCCAGGATGGGCACTTCTTTGATGCCATTAGGGAACTGAGAATTTAGGGGGCTAAACTATGTCACCACACTCGTGATGGTTGATCTCTCCCAGAACATTCAATAGCCTCTATTGGGGGTGCTTTTGAGGGAAGGCTGAACCTGCAATCAATTGGTTACTGCATTCACCCTGACATGCACACTCAAGCACACACTGATCCTGACCACCTGCACCAGGTGGCAGCTGGGGGCAGAGGGAGCTACTCTGGGCTGCTGTATCTGGACTCAAGCCCCCTCACCTCTGCCTGGAAACCACTGTTCTGCACAGACCAAGTGATCCGGCAGAGGAAGGCTCACCTGCAGAAGGAGGGCGAGCTGGAAAAGATCAGCAAGAAGAGGCACTTGGATTTCCTGGACATCCTGCTCCGTGCCAGAGTGAGTGTGTGTAGGAGAGGTCTAGGCTTTGCCCAGACGCCCCCAGGAAGGAGCAAGCCCCCCAGTGTCACCTGGCCTTCCCCAGATGGAGAATGGGGACAGCTTGTCCGACGCGGACCTCCGGGCAGAAGTGGACACGTTCATGTTCGAGGGGCACGACACCACGGCCAGCGGCATCTCCTGGATCCTCTATGCGCTGGCCACCCACCCTGAGCACCAGCAGAGGTGCAGGGAGGAGCTGCAGGGCCTCCTGGGGGATGGCGCCTCCCTCAGCTGGTGAGTGCTCCAGAGGCAGCAGGGCCCTGCCCACTGAGGAGAGAGTCCCTGTGTCCCTGGGCTATGCCCCACCCTCAGGGTGCACTTCCTTTCAGGGACCACTTGGACCAGATGCCCTACACCACCATGTGCATCAAGGAGGCGCTGAGACTCTACCCACCAGTGCCGGGTATTAGCAGGGAACTCAGCAAGCCGGTCACCTTCCCTGATGGACGCTCCTTACCTGAGGGTGAGATGGGGCCACACCACTCCCTCAGCAAACCCTGGAGCCATAGAGAAGATAAATGTAGATATTCTGCCTTCCCATAGTCTTGTTTACCAGTAAGAATATCAATGGGATTTAGTTGAGGAGGAGATGTATGACATAAGTGCACAGCTGTTGTCTTGGCAAAAACTCAGTCCTCAAATTCTAGTCTCTGAAACTGGTCTTGTAAATTTACATTTAAATTATAATTTTGATATGATAGGAGTGACTGAAATTTATTAGCAACTAGGAAGAAGTGGTCCCCTCCTTGGGACCCCAGGCAGATTGGGAGGTCAGGGGGTCCTCACACATGAGCCCATGGTCCAGGCTCTGAGCAGACATAGATGAGGCTGAGAACAAGACCTGTAGCACGTGCTGGCCGTGGGTCCCTCATCCCCTAAGGCTCTGGTGCCTCATCTGAGCCATGGATGAGAGGACTTCTGGAGGGTGACTGTGGGAACTGAACTTTACTGCAAAGTCCCCAAATGCTCACGGAGGGGAGTGATAATTGTGAGTTGTTGCTTAAGTTGCTGCCTCAGGGAAGCGTCCAGTTCTCTGCAGCTTCCCCTCCTGGACTCAGTCTCCTGACTGCACACGTGCTGTGCCATGTCCATCCGCTGCTCTGCCACGAGATCGTTTCACTCACATCATGGCCGTCCAGGCTCTGGGCTTTTGCTCATGCATGTGCCCCCTCCGGGAGGAGGACCAGGGCACCCCAGGGTGTCCTCACACTTCTCTCCTCCCTGCCCCACAGGAATCACTGTGTCACTCTCCATTTATGGGCTGCACCACAACCCCAACGTGTGGCCAAACCCTGAGGTATGTGGGCAGGCAGGGGTGTGGGGGCCTCTAATGACCAAAGCTTTTCTGACTCCCACTGGAGACCACACCCTGGTCAGGGGAGGAGGTGCTGCCCATATGCCTGAGCCTGTTAAACTGTCTCCACAGGTGTTTGACCCATCCCGGTTTGCTCCTGGCACTGCTCGGCACAGCCATGCTTTCCTGCCCTTCTCTGGAGGGTCCAGGTGAGGCAGCCTGTCCCTGGGGGGATGGAAGGTCTCAGGTGATGTCACTACGTGACCTACCTGTCAGGAATGGCATAGGAGGGTCTGACTGGGCCCTGGGTCACGTGTAGAGAGAGGGCTGGCAAGGAGACAGAAGTATCCAAGTGGGGAGAAAATGGGATGGCAAAAGGACATCCTTGCAGTAGAACCAGAAGCTACAGAATGGTTCACTGAGGGACTGGGTGAGGAGGGGCAGGTAGATGGCATGACAGGTTGCAGTTCACTAAGCATTTGACCTCAGTTCCTGCACACCATCTGACTTCTTACACAACCCCATCCTGTCTACACTCTTACATCAGGGCTCCCTTGAGTCCTCTTAGATGTTGGGGGATTGAGAGTCAGCTCTTCCCATCCCCGTTCATGCCTCCTATTGTGAAGCCAGGCCCTGCTGTGGAGGGTGAGCAATCTGGTCATGAATTGCTTTAGTGAGTCAGTTGACTTGACTGTGACTTAGAGCACTGACTGCCCCGACAGCTTCTCAGGTGCCAAGAGCACAGGTGGGACGGAGGGTCACGCCTAGAGGAGGGGCAGCCTTTGTCAGGAGAGAGCGTGACCCCCCACATGCGTAGAATGTGTGTGACACTAAGGATGAGGTTGGGGCTAGGTCTTATGAAAGGGGACTGTGAACGCCCATTCCCAGGCCAGCACTCAGAGGCCAATTCTCCTCAACTCAGAGTTGGTTGGAGTTCCTGTCTCATTTTGTTTTCCATCCTCACCCAGAAACTGCATCGGGAAGCAGTTTGCTATGAATGAGATGAAGGTGGCCGTAGCCCTGACTCTGCTCCACTTTAAGCTGGCACCAGATCCCTCCAGGGTCCCCGTTCCAAACGCAAAAGTTGTGTTGATGTCAGCGAATGGAATCCACCTGCGCCTCACGAAGCTTCAGTAACCCAGTGGACGTGGACCAACTCTGAGGGCTTCCCGTCAGCCATCCCATCTTGCTGGCTCTACTGTCAGATTCTGACTTCCTCCCTGCTTGTTGCAGATGTCCTGTTTGCTGTCCACCTGTCTCCACCCTCCTCTATCTTAATATCTCACTCCGACATGCTGTCTGTACTTCAGCTTGTCAGACCTCTCCCTGGATTTTTTCCTTTCTGTCCTATTATCTGAACCTCTCATAGTTTCCTCCTGCTCCTTAACAATTTGTCACAAACTTAGTGGCTTACAACAACACACCTTTATAATCTTAACACTAAGGAATCAGTAGTTGGAAATAGGTTACACTTGGCCTCATCTAGGTGTTGTGGGGGCTCTCAGGGAAAATATCTTTCTTTCTTTTCCAATTTCTATCTTAATGTCTTTCAGTGATTGGATTAGCTGCTCCCATATTACCATGGAAATCTGATTCTCTTAAGTCAACTGAATGGAGATGTTAGCCATCTCCAAATACAAGCATCTAGAACATTCGTTAACTGAGTAACTGGCTCCACACCCCACGCAATTGACACATAAAACTGAACTCCACAGTCCCCCTTGTGACCTGGCTTCCACACACTTTCCCTTCAAGTCCACCTCATCTACAAATAAGGCCTTTAATACAGTCCCACGAATGCCAAGTGTCTGCGCATCTGGAAATGCACAGAACTTCCTGGAGACAGTGACACGCTGGAGAACATCCCCCAGCTCCCTGGCCCTGCACAGTGGACGCTCTTCTTAACACAGCATGTTCCATGTGAAGGGGTTACAGAGGGTCTAAAATTCTCACACACACACACACATGCATGTAACCAAAACAACCTCCCGAGTGAAATGAGGGATACCATGCAGATAATTAGAGTCCTTGTTTCTGCAACTGGTCATATGGCCACAGCTGAATTTATAACTACCTTCCTCTACCCCCATTCCATGCTTACTTTGTCCTCAAAGCACCTCAGGTTTTGTGGTTCTTGACTGTTGAAGGGCCAAGTCCATCACTCTGCCCCCAGATTGGGTCATGGCATTTTTCATGAACTTTAATGTCAGGGCACAGAGCACTCAGTGAAGTCCTCAGGTAACTCCTGTACTCCCCACTCTTCATCAGCTTGTTTGGGGAGGAAGCTACCATTCACCTTGATTATCTGGATCAACTCAGTGCAGCCACAGCTTTTGATTCAAAGGCATGAACCCTAAGTGGGCAGGTGGAAGTTGGACTTACACTTCAATGAGTCATCGTTGTGTCTCCTGGTGGAATCATTCCTGCCTTTGGAACTAGAGCTACTGGTCTACGGACAGCATGAGGTTGTTTTACCAGCCGTAAAAATATTCCTAACCAGTAGGTATAAAAGTGATCAGTGGGTATAATAGGGAATGGTCCCACTCCCTCTTCCATTTGTGATTTTTGGACTTGTGAATTCTGGCTGTGGAAGAAATAGCACTAAATACAGTAATGCATCACTTAAAGACAAGGATATTCATGACTGTGAAGGTATCACACATTGCACTTGGATTAGTCTTGATGGCCTGGCATGCTGCCATGGGATGCTCAGTACAGCCTAAGGGACAAGGTCATTTATTGACATATGACTGTCATTGACCAAAATGAAGTGACCAACACATGACTGCATTGAACATTGATATAGAGCATAGAATCCTTCCACAGAATCTTGTCTCAGTCCTGCAAGGTATCACCACCAAGCTGGTGCTGTATACCCAACCAATCCTGAAGTTATTTCTCTGGTTCTGGAATGTATATTGGGATATATATATATATATATATATATATATATATGCAACTGGCAAAGAAGACTTAGAAGATTGGGGGTTTGATGTTTCCAAATTATTGGGATCTTCTCAAATAACCCAATTTCCATTTTCTCACTCCTTTATGTCCCAATCAATGTTCTCACTTAACAGACACATTCTGCAATATTTGGAATTCTGTTTGCTTTGTGATTCACACAATGACAAAATGACATTTTGTGCCTAATTTTCAGAATCTTAGCCCAATCTTAGTTTGGTGGCCATGGGACATAATGGTTATTTTCAGGGAACAAACAGAATCATACGGGGCATATATTTATGGTTTGAGGAAAATTGAATTTTTAATCTCACTCTCTATTACCCCATTCTTAAATGCAACTAGGAGCAGGTGGTTGTTTCATTGTATTCTCAGTTTGACTGAAATTCTCTGAAGTATCAAATATGTGGTAATCAGAATCTTTTCCTTAATTATTTGATTAGTAGTGTATACAATGGTGATGTTCTGGGCATCTCTATTTGCACATCATGCCCTGGCTTATTAGTGTCTTTTTTTTTTTTTAACCTGGGCATAGAGTTTTCACTGCCTTTCCAATAAGTGATTTAGAGAACCAATACCAGAACAGAGAGCCAATGCAGAAAATCCATTGTTAGAGATATTCTTGATACCAAAAAAAAGCTATATTTTCAGGATTTTACCAGATAGAAGAACCAATAGAAGAAATGCTTTCCAGGGAAAAAGATGATTCTGCAGGTAAAAGTTCCTGATCCACATTGTCCCAGGTAGCTCAGAGCTCAGGTGCCTACTCTTCCCCACTCAACACTGAGGTTAGGATGATCACATGAAGGCCAGACAGTCCATTTGATAGAATAACTGACTGAGCCAGGACAGGGGAGAGGGACAAGGCAGGGAGTCTCCTAGTAACTCAGCTCCAAAAATCAGAGTGGGAAGACAGGTGTCTACACACAGGTCCACTGCAGGAACAAATCAGAGACTTTGGGGCATTAGGATCTGCAGGAAAAAGAGAAGAAATCAGGTCATGTGAGGACTGGGAGATTCCTGGAAGAGGTGTGTTGATCAATAGGATGGGGACCTCAGCGGCCCAGACCAAGGGTGCAGACCTAGGTGCCCTGATTTCTTGCTCAAGAAGCCACTCTCTCTCCTAAGAGTCTCTCACTGGCATCATATCAGCACAGATCAGCACACATCTCACAGCACTGGCATCATAACCGGATCATAGATAGTCAGGAAGTCAAGGCAGACATAGGAGAACCAAAGGGTGTGGGACACCATGTTATCCAGGCTCCCTGCCTGCTGGGTCTGAGGTGGAGACAAGCCGGGTACTTCAGGAAGCCCGCATCACTGGTCCGACCACAAGAGTTTAGGCAGAGAAGGCACGTTGCCTGAGGAGGCCCTTGGAGCTTCCTTTTCTCCTCCTGCACTTCTCCCTGAGCCAGACCTGGTCAAACATCTCTAGAATCAGTCCTCTTACCTACCCATTGCTACTGCTTTTAGTCCAAGTCACCCTGTTATTGTATCTGTGTCAGCTCAACAACCCAAAACCAATTAACCTGCTTCTACTTGGTACCAGCCAGTGACTCTATCTGAACTGGAGACAAAAAAATCCTTCAATAGTTTAAAGCTTTTTCTTTAGGAAGATAACACTAGGCTGCTATGCAATACAGAAATCACCTCCATTTCACTACTCTTCATTCGACAATTTTTATTTTAATTGTGCAGTCTGTCAAGCTTTCAGCTTGACACACATGGAGATACACAAGGCCCTGCCTTTCATTCTTTGGTAGAAGAATGATAATAAACAAGTGAAAAAAAAAATAGGAAGGGAATCTGAATAGACACTCTTTTTTTGTTTGTTTGTTTGTTTGTTTGCACCCACAACCATCCCTTATATTAGCTCTTTTTACTATCTGTACTTTGAGGTCTTAAAACATAGGCTTTCCCAGGTTTACATAAAAAAACCAAGCCCAGGAAGGCCTCTAGCAAGGGGTACTGACATTGTGCCATGCAACAAGTCTGAACTGCTGGGTTCTGGCCTTGAGCTCCAGGCGGCTGCGTCTCTCACCCCATGCCTGAACCTCAGTTCCCACCAGAGAGCCTGGCCCAGACAGATGCTTGGCCGTGGGGTGAGCATCCGAGGAAGGACATCAGGAGCAGCTTGCAGGCTGGACAGTCACAGTGACCCACGCAGCTCATTGCACTAAGACTGGGGGTTGAGGCTACAGAGGGAGGCCACGGTCCCCTCAGAAGAAAATGGGCTTTTATCAGCAGAGTTCAGTGAAGATGGGGCTGTTAAAATCAGTCACAGAGAAACAATCCAAACCCACTTTGTTCATGCAAATCTTTGTGCTAATGATATCCAGATGATTTTGGTTTTGAGATGTTGTAACCTTTTATTAGATGCAGTTTTCACATTCCTAAACTTGTAGTTGACATATGGAACCACTAAAAATATCTCCAGTGATGGTCCCACTATACTCACTGATGGCTGCCTGATAATATTTAGGTACCAAGTTAAAAAATATATTTTTACATAATATTACTTATGGTGCTAATCACCTCAACCTCCGCTGGAGCAAAATATTTCTAGCTTTTATATTACTAAGATTTTTACTTTTAAACACCTCTATTATTGGCAGTCAGGAATTAAAATGCCAGATGTAATTAGATTGAATTGATGGCAGTGCACTACGAGAATTACTGCAGACTGTTGACTGGCTTGGGCACCACACAATCAAATAGGAGACATGGTTGCTCAGGTTCTTGCTGGGCCAACCTGAGGCAAACTAACATAACTGGGATGGTAAGAGGCTCCCATGGTCAGTCTCAGCATTGAATCAGAAAAGGTCAGTCCCAGTGGTGGACCTGAAAGCACTGAGCAGCCTCCTAAGTCATCATACAAGACACTCCTCCTATCAGGGTGCACTGGCTGCCCCAACCCCATCTCCATTAGAACATAGACTCTATAGTAGAGGGAATGTCTGTTAGTCACTCTTGAATCTCCCCCCAACTAGGATGAAACTTGAGCCTAAGGAAACTTTCAACATGTAGTTGTCAAGTAAATGAATGAGTGACTATCTACTCACCTGCTCTTTGATGTAGTTGCTCATTCACCATGGAACAAACATTTGGAGATGCCTGCCCAGCTCACCTGCTCTGAGGTCTCTTCCTTCAAGAAGGGTGGGCTTTGAAAGCCCAGTTCAACCCCAGCCACCATTGATTCTAGCAAGTGGGCACCTTGACCATGATATTGCAATCAGATTCCAGAATAGGATTCTAGGGTACCACTCAGGCATGGCATGTACTAGAACGGTAATGGGCCCACCCTGGTTGGTAGGTGTGCCCTCTTCCACCATGTGGCCCAGCTCCAAAGGATAGGGCATAGGGTGAATGAAGTCTGTCAGTCTTTTATGCCATTGGAGACTGTGGCTATCACCTGTGACTTTGATCTTATGAACATAACATAGAGAGTGCATGGGTGTGGTGTATGTGTGCCTGACTATGCATACCTGAGCATGGGTGTGTGCGCATGTGTGAGTGTGCACAATGGAGCCTAGAGGTAAGGATATAAGGGCAGTGTTACTCAGAGATGGTGCAGCTACGAGAGGAAGAAACCACAACAAAATTCCAGAGAAAGCCCAGAGTGTATAGTGATTCGCAAGGGACTCAAGTTGCTGTCTCCCTGCTGATTTGTGTCCCCTGCTTACCATTAAAACCTGTGAAAATGATGCCAAGGGCTCCACACTACTTCAAATTGCTAGAACCGACAGTGAAACTACCCGGCCAGAGATGGCTGCAAAACACAGGGGTTGTCTCTTTATTCATGGCTATCT